TAGGACCTGAACACACAGGAAAGTCGCCAGGTGGAAAAGATCAACCCCGTTCGGATCTCCCACAGGGAGTTGGGCCACCTCGGAAGGACATTGTGGACCGTCTTTGGAGAACTTCAAGAAGGACCCAATCTTGAGCGTCCGACCCGTCCATAACGATATCCCTGGAATATGAAGGACAAAGATCAGTACACATGTCAACCGATTCCGACCTTGGACTACCAGCGTCGGAACTCAACGAAGACGAACTCTAAGAAAGAGGAATGGAGCTATCCGAACTACTGACAAGGTCGATAAACGAAACCCGACTTGATGCAGAGTCTTTTAAGGAGGAAGGGGTGACTGATTTAGGAATACCCAGCTCGGACGAAGAAAGGCTGGAGGAGCTAGCGTTCAAGCCAAGAGGAGGAATCCGATCCAGAACGGACCTCGTACCCGAAGCCACCCCAGAGGATGGCAGAATAATGGACAGCGGAACTGGTTCAGGAAAGGAGCTCAGTCTGGGAGCTGAAGGATTCACTGAGGGAGGATTGCTCATGCCAAAATTAAGCCGTGGCTGACGACCCCCTCTAGGTCGACTTGTTCCCCTCCTACCTCGGCCTCCGCGAGAACCACGAAGGCCCCCACGGGGACCGCGGAGAAGCTGTTGAAGCTTCTCCTCCTCGGTGTATTCTCTACCGAAGAACCAATACTGGACGGAACGAGGCAAATGGCTCACCGCCTCTTCCTCCCCCATGCCACCTGGTTGGGATGCCGGACCAGAGGAAGAACTAGGGGCACTCATTATGAACCCTCAACACTTCAAATAGGAAAGTACAAACCTCACCTTCGGTTCTAGATGAAAGAAACCACACAGTGCAACCTAACCCAACCGAAAAATGGAACAACTGGTAAAAGCAAAATAAACAGAAAGGTACCTGGACTTAGGAGCAAAGATGGTGAGAACTAGACTCAATGAACAGAAACCTTCACTGGAAGTAAGGAGAGCTCCACGAGAGTTTACCACTTGAAGAACTGTAAAGTCTGGAACCCGTTGAGAGGATGATATTTAAAGGGCGACGAATGACTTGGGCGCGAAGGTGAAGGGTTTTTTCTTCAAACGGTTACGTGAGGAAGGGGGCAAAAAGGGGAATTCACCCTGGGAGCATTAAAGGCACCCCATCATAACCTGCGCAAAGTTGAAGCAGTACGCTCTGCACGAAGCACGAACTACCAATGGGCGCAAAACACGTGGATTGCCATAACCGTCACAGCAGACATGATGCGAAGGGTCAAATGCGAAGGGTCAGGATAAGGACCAGCCCCAAGTTCCATGATCAAGCATCGCCTGGGTTTCACGTTCCGATGCGACAACTCGGCCAGCATGAAGAAAGATGAGTGCAAAGAATTTGGGCAATATCCGACATGGTCAACTTCGACTTCAAGTGCAAACGTCAGGGAAGTATAGTGAGCCTAATCTTGACGAATCGAACAAACTAAAGTGTCGACTTCAAAGTCTCGGAAATCCAAATTCGAAGAATAAACTCGGATTAATCGAACCCATGACGACACCATGGAACCTCGGCATCCCGGATCCCGGAATACCGAGCTGGGGGCAACTGTTATGGATATGAATATCACATCCCAACTACCTACTAGAATATCCAGAGAGATATAGAATCAGCTACATCTCAACAACCTCAAACAGCTAAAAGGATATAAGATAAGGATCACACCCCAACAGAAGGAGAGGGAATCCTACTACAATTGGGGGATCTCAAAAGGCACAATCCTAGGAAGGTAATCCTATAAATAAGAGTCTAAGGACCCTAGGTAAAGATTAAGAACTCATTTATTACTTCTGCCCACACTGTGCACACACCCACCCCTTGGCTATAAGTCTATTGCTTGTGCGCAGCGATTGGGACCTCGGCTATAAGCCTAGTATACATTTGATATACACTATCTCTGAGCGCATACCATACGGTATAGCAATACGGTCTATCTAGGACCGAACAGAAGTATTAAATGAAACATGTATATATGTCTAACTGTTACGTGTTATAGTTCTATACACTCATTATTGTTTTGGTAGGTATATACAAAAGTCTCACATTTTATATATATAAATTTTGGGAGACGTATTTATACACAACTTATATCATTTTACTTGCACAAAGAGATGAGATCCACATTTTTACTTTTGAGTAAATCTCATTTATGGTCCTCAGCAAATTTCACGATGCCCGCTTGAGTCCCTAGCAAATAAAAAGGCCCATTGTGGTCTTAAGAAATTCAAAATGGGACCATTTTAGTCCTTTTAGGGACTAATATGGGTCTTTTTTGAATTTGTGATGGACCACGATTTCAACTAAATGGGTCCATTTTTAATTTCTTAGGGACCACGATGAGCCTTTTTATTTGCTAGGGACTAAAGCGGACATCGTTAAATTTGCTGAGGACCAAAAATGTATTTATTCTTTACTTTTTTTGTCAACTCTCTCTCCTCCTTTATCTATCTCTTTCTCTCTCTTAAAATAACATAATTTTACATCCTTTAAAATGACACACATTTTTCTCATAAATTTTAATATTATGTCGAGAAGTGCCGCTGTGATATGAAATGTATACAATCAATACAAAATCGTCATGTAACTATTTTTAAAAATTTTATTCTCGTATGCTAAGTTATATGTTTAATGCAATGTTGTAAAAATAGGGCTGAATCGATCGGGTCGACCCGAATCCGGTGAATCGGTCATCTGATCAGTCGGGTTATCACATTTGGTAGGCCAAGTACCAGATTCGGTGCGATCCTGTACGACCCGACCGATTTTGGTAAAAAATCGATGACCCGGTCGGTTAACTAGACCCGGCCCGGTTATTTTAAAAAAAAAAATCAAAAAAGAAAAGTTTTCCCAAAAAATTCATAATTGACATATTTGAGTAATTTGTTACTTATTGACTTAATATTATCTCAGTTATACACTATACAAAGAATTTTGATTTGATTTATAGTTAAGGCCCGTTTGGATGAGCTTTTTTTTCTTCAAAAGCTGTTTTTTTTAAAGAAAAAACACTTCTCGTTTTTAGTTCGTTTGGTTGTCTGCTTTTAAAAAAAGCAGAAGTAACAAAAAAGTCAAAAATTTACTTTTTTCAAAAGCTAAAAATTTTAAATTTTAAGAAAAGCAAAAGTCAAAAGAAAAATATTTTTTTCAAAAACTAAATATTTTTATAAAAGATTAAATAACTTTAACTTTTATAAAAAACACTTCTAAAATAAGGAAGAGATAAAAGTTATTTTTTTGAGAAGGCCAAATAAACGGGCTCTTAGATATGTCATTTACTGAACCTGAAACACTAGTATCACAAGTATTATATGTTTATTTGATCTTTTATAAGACAATAATGTATAATTTATTATTTTTTATATTAAAATATTTATAATTTATATTATTTTTTTTAGCTATTTGAGTATGTTTATAACTTTTCTAATATAAATTTTAAATTTACATATAATTAGCAGTTCAACTAGTGACTCACTGATTGAACCAGTGACGCGGTACCTCGACCGGATCAATGATCGGACCGGTTTTAATAACATTAGTTTAATGTATTTATAAGTTAGTATATTTGAAACCAATATATAAAAATATATTTAGACTGCAGGAATCAATATTGCAGATTTATTCAAAGACATGCATGTTTTAGTTAAAAAAAATAAAAACACATCTTTTTACTCCTTTTAAAATAGGGGAAACTATTTTTGCTAGCAGAAATAGTTTATTGGAAAAGACACAAAAAAGGGGCTCACCAAATTTTTCTCTTTCATTTTATTATAATTTTTATTTTTTTTATTTTTATGTTTGTGACAAATAAATTGTTTCTAACATGGCAGAAATAGTTTCCCATTAAAATAAAAGGAGAGTTATATTGATAATTTTTTTTATAAACTTGCAAATTACACTATGTTTTATCAATAAAATTTCACTTAAGAGTATCTTACATGTAAAACATAATATAATTTATATGAATTTATAAATACAACATTTCCTTTAAAATAATACCAAAAAGACTCAGATCATGTTATGAATTATTTATTTATTTATTTCATCGAGGAGCAAAAAAACGGTGACTTTCACGCATTTCTGAAAGGGCTTTGCTAGATGGCGTGCACAACTATACCTGGACGGCTGGACTCGGCCCGGATCACACACAACTATGGCTGATTTAATGCTTTCACATCTTTCTCTTTTTTGGTTCCCACTTTTAAGGGTTTAATACGGGGATAAAACAAAAGAAAAACAATTAAAAGGATATAATTTTGTGTTATTTTTTATCTTAATTGTTAATTTTCTTCAATCAACGGTTTGAGTTTATTGAATTTTATTATGAATTACTAATTAATTAATAAGTTTGACCAAATAAATCTTAATCGCTAATTGATGAAAATCAACAATTAGAATCTAAAATGACACAAAATTATATCATTTTAACTGACAAACGTTTTTGCCTAAAACTAATTAGTGTTCTGTATTTTTATTGATTTTATTCATTTTAATGAAATTAAAATATAATATTCTTTAATCACATGTCTTATTATGTTTCGTTTTTAAAATATAATAAATATAAAACAAAATATATACATTATATTTTGTTCCGCTCTAATCGTGATTTTGTGTGTGTATGTCGGGGATTTGTTTTCCTTAATTTGTGATATATTAATTTGAAGAATTCAGATAATTCACATAACTGGTAATCATAATTTCAATAAAAATAATTTTTTTTTTCCTATATCAAATATCAATATATTTAAGCACGGGCCTTCAATTTCATCTTAGAAGCCAATGATATCCACTGGAGAGATATGCAGAAGATTTCAATGGAAACAATTGTTATTAATTAATTTGCTTATTAAAAATCTTTAATACAGGACAACAAAGACTTATTCAATTTGTAAAACATAGAAACACATGTACTGAAACCAAAATAATTGAACAGCGTTACTCTCCATTTGAGTTTGACTATAATCCACTCAAGTATGGGACACCAGTTTGAGGAAGCCAATTATCCCCACTCAAGAAGTTAGAAACCGTGAAATTGGCAGCATCAGTAGCATTGATAATATGATAACCAGGCCATGTCACTCGGTTCGTAGTGTTTGAACCAGGTCCAGCGTTATTATATTCTGCATAGTACAAGGTACTCAACGCAAAATCACCACTCCATTCACTCCAACCAGCAGGGTTTATCAAACGATCCATGAAGGATTGCATAAAAACTGTCCTTGAATACTCCTTCCATGGTCTCCCAAGGTAGGTTCTCACGGTACCAATATTCGGAGCCAAATCATCCGCTGCTTTAATGGTAGCGTTTTGTATGGAAGTGCCTGTGTTTTGATTTGGATCAGTTCGACCTTGAGCTGTGATGGTGTTAAATTGTCCACTGAGGGGAAGGCGAGAATAGATGTTGCAGTTTTGGAAAACAACAGCAGCATTTCCAAATATGTAGTCAACTGTGCCATATATATCACATTCTCTGTAAAACTGCCTCAGAGAATGCGTATATAATGTGTCTTGATACCCTTCAAAGCTGCAGCTATAGAAGGTGGACATATCAGCTCCACTTCTTACCGCAACTGCTTGGAACTTGCTTGGTCCAGCTGTGTTCCTGAATGTTATGTTAACTGCTACGAACCCTTGAGCAACCACAGCTGCAAATCCACATCAACCATGTAAGAGGGTACTCATCAATATTGTCAATTATTTCATTTTTAAATTAGGGGAAGACACGCCTCCCTGCAAGGCTAGAGAAAACCACCAACATGTACTTATTATAGTATCAGAGCCTATATGATCAACTAGTCACGAATCAATTCTCATGCCGTGATTTATTAATAAATAATTAAATATTTTAGAGTTTCTTAGTTATAGATAGGAGGTTTTTATTATTGTCCACTTTTCAAATCTAATGAACTTTTGTGTGAGGGATATATTAGAAAAATGTAGAGTAAAATATTTTTTGGGACCTTAAAAAAAATCACGAGCCCATTTTAATCCCCTAGAAAAAAAAGTTGATTTATAGACCCTCTAAAATTCAAAATAGATCCAGTTAGTTAAAATTGTGATTCCTTTAAAATTCAAAAAAGACTAGTGTAATTAGTTCCTCAAAATGACTAACATATGTCTATTTTAAATTTTAAAGTGATCCTGAATCTATTTTTTTTCTCTAAAAAATTAAATTAGGACTCATGATATTTGTTGGGAATTCAAAAAATACTTTATTCAAAAATATAATATAAAATTATTATCGTGACCTTCACCTAAAAACTTAATGTGATATTATATATTAGCTACCAAAGAGGGAAGGTGAGAATCAGACCCAAGTCACTTTTAGCATGAACAAAAGGTTCGACCAGCTATGCCAATAGCAATTATTAAATATTTTGTATATAAATCTTCATGCCATAAGGACATCATATCAACCATATTTAGGGTGATTAATAGTATATAATATATGTATGTGCATATATTACTTGTGCTTACCAAATGTTGCTGAGTTGAATGTTGTAGAATTGTCGCCAACACTGTGATTGCCAGTGATAATTGTCTGATTAATTCCATCTCCAACTAGCATCAAGTACTTCTTGGTTTTGTCAATGGATACATACTCTTGATACACACCTTGAGTTATAAAAATCAAGAAGTATCCATTACTAGCAGCTGTGTTGTTTGGTGCAGCAGCTATAGCGGCATTGATAGTGGTGAAGTTTCCGGTTCCATCCTGACTAACAACCACAATGTCACTTACCACAACACTGCCTGCTTGAAGCAGTTTTCTCCCATGACGTCTATTTCTAGCGGAATCATAAATAGCACGTACTCGGTTTGACATCTGCAACGGTAAACGGCCATTATGGAAATCCAAATGTCTCCCATTTTGTGGCCATGAAGTCATGATTTTCTTCTTAGGCACCCAACCCTTTAGGAACAGAGCCAAAGTGACACTGTGAAGCTTGGTGTCATCGGAGAGCGTAGACGACACGTCGTTCTTCACGGTTGGATCAGAGGTTGTAGTCTGTAGGCCATCTAAACATGTCTGTTGATTAGTCAAAACGGCACTGAGATAGGTTTCAAAATCTTCAGCTTGAGAAGTGGGAAGAAGACCACTAGCTTGATTAGCCGTGGCATAGGTGTTTGTTAAGTATTCTAAATTTAGTTCAGCAAGGAATTTGCAATCTTCAAGAGCGCCAATTGTGGATTGAGACAAAGACAAGCTACCTTGAAGATATGAGTCCACTAAGTTCAAGAACTTACGGGACTGGGACAATGACTTTCTAACAGAAATGCGGCCATAGTCGAAGATGTTGCCATTTTGGTTAGCAAGCACGGTTTTGCAATAAGTAGGATCAACAGTGGACCCGCAAATGGTTGCTGGTGGAACAATGGAGGATGAAGGGTCATCAGCTATGGATAATGATGCCAAAACCAAGAAAGAAAGAAGATAGGAAAGAGAGAACGTAAGAATTGAGAAGTGCTTTAAAGCCATTTGGATAATGGATGAACGAATTAGGGTTGTTGTAGTTACAAGGATGAGCATGAGATGCATGTTAGCTAGTCGGGCTTATATATAGAGGCCGAAAATTTTGTCTCATTGGGAATGAAAGCGTTGAATATAGCAAGTCAACTAGAAGGAATTTGACTTTGCAACCTTGATGTTGATGCCGTGGCTACCATGAACATGTCCAATTGGCCATTATTAAATATTTGATTAGGTGTGAGGAACTAACTAAGTTTAATGTAAACGTGCTTGTAAGCAAATATTCCTAATTGGGATTATATTTATTTGTCTACTTGCGGTTATAAGGTTAGTTTGGTATATGTCTGATAGTCGTGGAATGCGTTTGTCAACGGCCGGGTTGGTTCCCAGCAATCACAAGACAGAGAAATGCGATAAGAAAAATGATAACGACACGAACCTGGATGCTATTTGACATGGATCTAATATCGTTTTCTTGTCGTTATGTCTGACAAAAACATAAATGTGATGGGAGTGAGATACCATACCATAATGTCTGAGAAATAGCTTACTTTCTAAGTTTTCTAGGCGTATTTTTTTTTACGGTGAGGTATATTGAATATTTTACTAAGTATACATTCTACAAATTAACTACTGTCTTCATAAAATTCATGACAATAAACATGGGAATCGAACTCAGGTTTTCTTTCCATTACTTAGCCTATTTTACCAACTAAGTTAGGTCCATTGGATATGTACTTACTCTACATTTTAGCCATTATTATCTGGGTATCTAACGACGGTAATTTATTAGAGATTAATAATTAAATAACGGCTGTATCCAAAAAAAATTATTAAATAATGGATACACTTCAATAAATTATAACCATCAGATGCACGAGGATCAATGGTTGAGATGATGAGTAAGATTTCTTATTCTTACACACATATATATAAGGGAAGGTTATACTTATTACCATTTTAGCCTTACTATTCTTACTATCTAATTGATTACCATTTGATCAATTTAAAATAAATGGTTGAAAAATGAAAAAAAATTAATTATCATTGATTTCAAATTTATTTAACGGTAACCAATTAGGTAGTAAGGCTAAAGTGATAGTCTGCAATGCACCGACACGCTACTTTTTTAAAAAAGAACGTGTCGAACACGTGTCCGACACGGACACACTTTGACACGTTTTGACAGGTGTCCAACACGCAGTCAACAATTTGGGACACGCGGTCAATGTTGTGACACATTTTTTCGACACGCAGTTAACTTTTTCCGACACGCGGTCAACGCTTCGACACGTTTTCTTTTTCTTTTCTTTTTTAGTCTTAATTTTATTTTATTAACTAAATATAAATAAATAATTTATAAATAAATTTTTTTTTCTGTTAAGAAATTTGACATGAAAAATTAACAAAGTACGAAAAATTATTTTTTTTTATATTTATGTTATGAAATTTGAATATTTGATTGATTATATGACTTATTATGGACTGTTATATATATTACATATAAATTATATTATATATATTAAATTTTTTATTTAATATCAAAATGTGTCCCAACGTGTCGAAATATGACATTTTTTAAAATTAACGTGTCGGCGTGTCGTATTGTGTCTCGTGTCCCGTGTCGGTGTCGGTGTATCATAGGTGGTAGTAAGTATAACCAGTCATATATATAAAAAGAGACAAGATTCTTTGACACCGGTGTCAAAATAAAAAGTTGACCACAAATCTTAATCGTTGATTTTCTACAATCTAACAATTATAATTTATTTGAAATTAATAATTAATTAATAAATATGATCTAATAAATTATAACAGTTAGATTCACGAAATCAACGGTTAAGATTAATGTCAAAATAAAATGTTTGACACTGACACTGGTATAATTTGTTTTTGTTTTTTTAAGGTGGTATAATTTGTTTGTGCCACTGTATATATTGTTTGAGATGTTCATCATACAAAAGTAGGATGATTCACGAAGGCTGAGTGCGCAAATAAGTGAATAATATGCATAAAAGAAGGATTAAAGTGTAAATATCTTGAGAAATGAAATTATTAGAAGAAACTCCTAACCACCATAATATATAAAGATTTAGTTTACAACAATAAAGTCACAAAGAATAATGTGGTTTCGTTACTCTTATGAAGATGATTAAAAAACTTATTGTAAATATCCAATATTAAGGAATTCAACTAACAAATAGGAAACTACGACAGCTGCAGAGTACGACCATCCCCGCGCTTTTAACGTACTTGAAAAGATACGTATCTTTTTTGTCCTTTTTTTTTTTTTTTGAAGCCAATTGGTAATTAGTTAATTTCCCTAGCATAGATGCGAATGATTAATTAAGAATGCTCGCCCATTTGCATGCAATGGCGTGTAATTGATGGCTAGTCCCCTCAGTTGAATAACTTGACGGTATATCAACTTTATGTCCTAGTCTAATATCTTCTTCTCGTCAAAACGCGTCTTGTGAATGAGCAGCAGTTTTAGATAATCCCATATATTGGTTTCGTGAATGCAACTCAAAAGTGCTGGAATAACGCGCGCTCACATCTTTGTTTCATTGAGTACCTAATTTCAATTAGGCATCATTTTCTTTGTTTTCCTCTCCCTTCCTCTCTTTCTCTCTTCCACTTTTCTCACCTTTCGTGACGGAGTTTGCCCCATTGTAGCCAAGATATTGAAATATTCATAAAATTAAAATAAAATGTGCTAGCTGGTTGACAAAATACGTAACTGAAGCCCAATTTACGTGTTTGTTTTGTGAGAGAAAATTGTGTGCAACTTTGTTTTGTATTTGGTTAGAGATTAAATCTAAAGAATTTTATTTTTGAAAGGAGGCGTGTTAACTAATTTTTGGAATACATATGAGGAGGATGACCTCTAAGTATTAGTCAAAGTCATGCACATAAAGAGCTCAAGTCTCCTTTAAATATAAAAAACACTTTACGTATAAAAGTTTAACACATGAATTCTATCTACTTGAGCTTTTTTTATTCCCAGTTAATAGCTTTAAAAATAAGCAAGCACGGCCCGGATAAATCGGGCGAGTAAGTATCACTACCAATGCACTATGCATTCCAGTCAAGTGCAGAATGACGACGATAGATATATTCAATATTTTCCTCTTTGCAAGTTGGAAGCAAATCTGCCATGAAGTTCGCACACGAACGCGTGCTAGGGTACGAGAATAGCAGGGATCGGTGGAACCTTTTAAAAGTAATGTGCAAATAATACATAATGTAAGACAAATTTTACATTAACCACAATTACCATACAATTCATGAACCATAGAGTTCGTTTTAATTTGTACATTAGTTCCAAAGTAAGGATTAAATCTAACCCACCCAAAATATCTAATAGCATCTTTTGAAGAATGAATTAGATTTGTCCGGGAGAACTATCGTGACTTATTCATAGCACGTAGGCACGACATTCTACTCAATATTAGGATTCATGAATCACGAGTTCGATTGCCACTAATGCATGTATTCCTTTTTCTATTCAAATACTTAAAGCTCCAATATTATAAAAAAAAAACTGTTTTAAGATAATGTAGTTGGTATCCAGCCTGTAGAAAGCAGATATGCTTAAAATTTTCAACGACGGTGATAGGCTGGTAGGTACTCAAACTATTCGAACACATCCACATGCCGTACCTTTTGTCTTATGGTATAAATCAAGCTTTTTACTAGATGATATCTGAGCAGTCATTCCTCATGGAGAGCCAATGTTATGATAATTATTGGATGGATGCTCGAGATGTGACTATAAAGAAAGAGAATTAAAAAACAGAGGGAATTTTTATTTTAAAGAATGACCGTACGGCCAGTATCGTCTTTGGGAGGGGTTTAAATACTTAATCCTGAGTCCCGTCTTGAATTGAATTAGTCGCAAAGCGATGAACATATTAAAATATCTCCAAAAAACAAAAAAGGAATAATTGTATTGCCTCCTTACGATAATGTAATATAGAGAGACAGAGAGAGAGACAGAGAGAGGTAAGATTCTTTGACACCAGTGTCAAATTTGAAATTTGACATCTCATCTTAGAGTCATTAGATTAAAAAAGATCAATGGTGTCACATGCTTACAAATCAGAGTCGTCGTTGATCTTTTTGATCTAATGGCTCTCAGATGAGGTGTCAAAATTGACACTGGGGTCAAAAGATCCTACCTCATATATATATTGGCACAGATCCTTTCACACCGGTGTTAATTTTTAAAATTTGACATCAAATCCTAACCGTTGATTTCTGTCAATCAATGGTTATCATTTATTGGGAATTAATAATTAATTAATGAGTTTGATTGGCAGAAACTATAACCATTGATTGACAGAAATCTACGGTTAGAATTTGGTGTCAAATTTCAAAGTTTGACACCGGTGTGAAAGGATCCCGCCCCTATATATATATATATAACATTATCCATAAAAAGCAGTAGACGATTAAAAGAAAAAATAAAATAAAATAAAATAAAAAGTATTAAAATAAAATAAAAATAAAGATATCTAGGGGTACAAAAAAGAATAAGAAAGTAAGAAATAAAAAATACAAGGAATATAGGGGAAAAAAAGAAAAAGAAATACATAGATAAATAAATAAGAGAGAAAAGATTGAAAGAAAAAATAAAATAAAAGAAAAGAAGGAAAAAAAGAAAGTGGGGGAGATAAAGAGTGAAAGGACTAGAAAGGTGCAATATGGAACATAGGAATAAAAATGGTTTTAACCATCCACCATCTTTATAGATTTTCTCCAATCCGTCCTTAGACACATCGTTCGTCAATCTATATCTCACTTCATCAAGTCTTGTTTTAGTACCTTCCCTCAAGTAAATTTCGGTCTACCTCTACCTCTTTTTTTGTGTGGAAATAATAGGAAATTAAAACAAAAACACAACAAAAAGAAACTAGGCACAAAGCCTAGACCAGTGAACACCTATAGTGTCACCATACAGACTATCAATACAACCTGACGGTGGACAATCAAATTCCTGAATTACC